ATCAGGAAGACAAGCCCAAACCAGTCGATTAAATCTGGATAAAGTTGGAGTGAAAACACATCCAGATTCTCACAAAGTTCTTGCAACAAATGAACAGTCTTCCGTCTCTCACATCTATGCAATTGGAGATGTCTTGCAGGTATTTCTAACCAGTATAGTGTAATTGTTTACCCAAAACAGTGCTTTTAATTACACGTGTAAGCTAATTCCAGTTATAACTAAATACTATCACAGGCAAGTATTATTGTTCTCTGTGTATAACTGAGTCTTATTTCTATAACTTTGTAAACATTTTTTTCAGTAATTATTTCATAAAGGAGGTATTTTCTGTCAGTGTATCATTTGCAGAATGAAATATTTTCATAATTTCTCAGTGAACAAAATGCACTTGTGTAGTGAATTTCACATTTACTTTATTTTAAAACAAGAAACTAAATTTTCTGGAAGAACAGCCTTCTTCTTGCTCATTTTTGTCTTTCTCAGTTTTCGAAAGCTTTAGTATATAGACTTAGTTAAGATTTTAAATATTAAGTTATGTTTAGATAATGTGTTACTATTAACTTCCATTAAATTTCTTTGGTTAGGATGTTACTATTAACTTCTCTTTAGTTATGACAAGCAAAAGTACCCGTCCCCAGTGACGGGAAAAGTCAAAGTTAATCTATAACTTTAAATTATTTCATGGACTTTAAAAAGGTTAATTGTGTTGCACTCTTGGTTTCACTCAGAGCCAAAGATCTGAGCTACTTACACCGCCCACCCCGAAAAGTAATTGTTGAGCCACTCAACAATAACATACAGTAAATCTACATTTTTATTCTTGAAGTTACATCATTGTAACCCATTGGAAATACATTTTCAGGGAAAGAAAAATGTTAACTTTTCGTAAGGTTTTGATATTAAATGAGTTAATTTTTTTTTTGAAATGAAAAAGTGAAAACTGACACAAAGGTAGGATTCTAATCCATAACTCTGCTACATGTAATTTGGTGGGTGATTTATTCTACAAAATTGTTTTATCTTGATTGCTAAATGTCCGAGTTTTCTCTTCATTGGTTATTAAGGATGAAATCTGGTAGAATTCTGGAGTCAGATTGCAAAAGTCGAAATCCATTTATTATTAATTTCTGATTGGAAAGTTTTTATTTTTTATTATATGAGATACAGATATTTATCAGTGGAACAGGACTGTGTACCTAAAGTAAAGTTCTACATCAATATTTCAAAATATTTGTACTGATAATAACCTTTGTAAATTAAATAACTCCTGTTCGGCAGTGCCAATGGTTGTAGGTACATAATTTAAGTCTTATATGCAGCTTGTGGTGACCCAGTGTTGTCAAAGCTCACAAGTATTCTTTTCACAGGGTAAACCGGAACTGACTCCTGTAGCAATCAAAGCTGGAAAACTCCTTGCTCGTAGGCTGTTTGAGAATTCAAAAAAACAAATGGATTATGAAAATGTAAGTCTTAATGCTAGGTATTATTAAGAATGTCTATGTTATTGTTGTGACTATTTATCAGAGTTTTGCTGGAGGATTTCTCTCCTTTTCTAATATTGTTTTTTTATCATTACTATGTTTAACTTAATTTTAGACGACTGTCACGGCTGAGTGCAGTTTCATTTGTATGCACCTGTGTGAAGTCAACAGCAATCTTCTCATTGACTGGAATGAAAAACAAATATAATGAAATATGTAATTGTTTGTCACACCAACAGGTGGCACTCTTATAGTGTAAACCTTTAAGTTTTGTTTAATTACTTTTGTTAATTACCATCTCTGCAGCTGACAAAGAAATTACTGACAATGAATTTCTGTTTGACATTTTATTTTGTTTATTGTCAAAATTAAAATAATCTGTAAGTGTTTTCTGTTTTAAAAATCATAAATTTATGGAGGAATGTCCATACAGTAACTTGCTGCTGTTTGGACTATTAGTGTATTTTGAAAAACCAGTTTATTTAGGTGTTTTGTGTTAATTAATTTTTTTCTGAAATTCAGTGGATTTTTAAGATCTAGTTTGTTTAGCATTAATTAAAAAAGCTGATAAGTGACTGGGACTTGAACCCAGGATCTCTGGCTAACAAGGTCAGAGCTCTACCACCGAGTTATCTACAAGTACAAGTCATCCCCGTCAGTGTTCACATACCACTGAGTTATACCACATATAATGTTTCTTATTACGAGTATGATTTACCATACTATGTTATGATGGATGTAAAGACCAAATCACATGAAGTCTGTCCAGAGATTTACATTAATTTTTAAATTCCATTAGTAAACATTAGAAGGATAATATTTAACATTAAATTTTAAGTGAAAAGAGGGACTGATTCCAGTTCCTCACAACAACTCGTGACACCAGGGAGATGGACAGTTCTGCTTTATGTAATATGTATATGGAAAATCACCATTGTGACAGTTGTGCAAATATTAACATCAAAAGGAAGGACTGCGTTAAAAACAGCAAACCCAAACCTGGTGATGAAAAACAATGGGTGGTGTTTGGGAGTTTATACTAGTATAACTTGTGCACCGTACTACTAATTAACTTGTTAATTTCTGTCTTCACTACTATAATGGAGGCTGTAATGCCAACGTAAGGTTGCCTCGCTTACCCTCAGTGGTAGGACTTTATTTTTTCATTTTATGTTTGTTTAGAGAGTAGTCACCTTCCCACAACTGTCTGCAGGCAGTGAAGAGTGATATAGATGTAGGACATTGTGAGCTTAAACACTCGTGTGTTGCTCTCCTTATTTATAATTTTTTCACTTGTTTTTGTTTATTCTTCTTGTGAGACTAGCAATTGGAGGTTAAGACTGGTAGACTACCAATTGGAGGTTAAGACTGGTAGACAAGGTCATTATGGGTCCTAATTCTGCAGTCACCTCCAAAACTCGGGGCACATCTTATATCCCACATTATATCCTGTGTCCTGGTGATCTTTTAAATTTATGCAGTGTTTTTTTGTTTTGATAATTAAAAAATGTATATTCACTTTTATTAAAGTATTTCATTATTGATTACCTTCAGAATTATAACTCATCATCGATGTGCTTACCAAACTCACTGTTCTACCTTAGGTAGCAACAACCGTGTTTACTCCCCTAGAGTACGCTTCTGTCGGGTTATCTGAAGAAAAAGCCGTAGAGAAACATGGAATACAGAACTTAGAAATTTATCATGCTTTTTATAAACCTTTGCAGTACACCTTAGCAGAAAGGGATGCATCACAGTGTTACTTAAAGGTAAGTGTTTGTCACTGTTGGAATATAACTCAAAATTTCTTTATCAGAAATTTCAAGGAAAAGATGTGATTTACATCCAACACTTAGGATTATTTTCAGAAGCCAAAAATTTCTAAATCTTAAAAGAACTTTTAGTAATTCAAAAATATTACTCAAAAGGCTTGATCACTTTTGAAACGAGGTCTCTTCTTCAATAAACATAAAAATGGGTATTTTTTCTTCTGGAGGAGGGTCAACTTTTGGAAAGTTTTTGGTCATTTTGATTTCTTTTTTAGTATTTCAGTGTGCTATCTTACTGAACCATAACGCAAAAAAATAGACAATCATTTCATTTTAATTCAGTGATAGTTAACAAGCCGAACTAACCTAAATGAGTTCTGATTTCGGTTTAATACTAAGTGAATGTGACAATGTTGTCCATTCAACTTATTTTAAAACCTCATTAGAATCCATTGATGAACATAGCATGCATATAAAAGAGATCTTACTTATTCGTAAACTGAGTTTAAAATCAGCTGCTTGTAAACTGTCATTTATAAATGCAATGAAAAAGGTATTAATCATGACAATGTTTATTATTTACAATTGTTTTTGCGAATCAACATGAATTTATTCTTGACTCTTAAAAAACCCTTTGTCTCCTTATAATACAAAACTTAAGTGCTTCCCAGTTCATATAAACCTATTGACCAACAAGACTCGAACACAGTTATGTTACCAACACTGATTTTTAAATATTAAGGTAATTTCTTGTTTTTCTCACGCACTAATTCCTACCAGATTTTGGTATTTCGATGCTTTAATACCTAGAAAATTGAATGATTATTAAATTTGTCCAGAGTAAGATCTTGTTTTACCATAATAAATCTAATAATATAAGTTTGTTTCTCTACAAGGCTCATTTTTTTACATTATTAGAGACAAAAAATATTGTCCGAGTGATTTTCTTTCGTGAACGTGCTAGAAAGGTTTCAAGTGATTACAAATGCCTAAAATAATATTCATTAAAAAAAAAACTATCTGGTCTTCTGTATTAATATTACTACTACTATCTTTTTCACCCTTATAACTTGTAGTTTCAAAGTGTTATTGATGTGTAACCATCGTGTATGGTTATGTGGGATAAAAATCTTGATTTACTTTTATAGGCTGTTTGTTTAAGAGAGCATCCACAGAAAGTCATAGGTCTTCATATGACTGGGCCTCATGCTGGGGAAGTTATGCAAGGTTTTTCAGCTGCTCTCAAGTAAGTTAAATAAAAGTTACATCGAGGTGTTTTTCAATCGCTCTTGGAATAAAAGCTGTTCAAGAGGTTCTCTTATGTAAGTTGAGAGTTATTCAAGGAGATTCATCTCTTCGGTAAGTTGACAGGGAAACTATTCAAGGAGATTCATCTCCTCGGTAAGTTGACAGGGAAACTATTCAAGGAGATTCATCTCCTCGGTAAGTTGACAGGGAAGCTATTCAAGGAGATTCATCTCTTCAGTAAGTTGAAAGGGAAGCTATTCAAGGAGATTCATCTCTTCCATAAGGTGACAGGGAAGCTATTCTAGGAGATTCATCTCTTCGGTAAGTTGACAGGGAAGCTATTCAAGGAGATTCATCTCTTCTGTAAGTTGACAGGGAAGCTATTCAAGGAGATTAATTTCTTCGGTAAGTTGAAAGGGAAGATATTCAAGGAGATTCATCTCTTCCGTAAGTTGACAGGGAAGCTATTCAAGGAGATTCATCTCTTCGGTAAGTTGAAAGGGAAGCTATTCTAGGAGATTCAGCTCTTCCGTAAGTTGACAGGGAAGCTATTCTAGGAGATTCATCGCTTCGGTAAGTTGAAAGGGAAGCTATTCAAGGAGATTCATCTCTTCTGTAAGTTGAAAGGGAAACTATTCAAGGGTACTCTGGTTTCCCCCCACAACAAAAGTTTAAAGGCATAGGATAAATCATCCAACCACCCTGAGAAGGGACATTCTATCAGGATTTACCATTACCATACTATAATTTCAATCATAATCAAAACCGCTAACCTATACAAAAAATTTCAAGGTGTCTAAACATGTATGTATTAATCCCATATTAACAGATCGTACTTCACTCTGCACCTCCTTGCTCATGTCATCGTACAGTATACTCTCTCTCCATCAAACATCATGACCACGTGCATAAACAAACACATGTGCGTTCCACGTGCTCTGGATGACCTTCGACGTACCACTACGAGCATGCAAGTTTCTCTTCCTTCGACTTTCTTGACAGCTTTTCCACTTACTCAATGACAAAAAGATCCACTGAAATCAGAATTCCCATCTAATTAACTATCCCAAATCATAAACAAATTATCGGCTCACCAAGACCGCTTTTAGTAATTCCAAAACTCTCGTCAACACTCTATCTCACTCTATCTACGCGTGTGGGGCTGAAGGGAAAACCCGCAGTTTCCGAGCTCCGCTGGTTGGCTGCTCAAACCCCGATGGAGCTTGTGTGATATCAAACCAAAACAACTGTTATGATATATATATATATATATATAGATTCAGCTCCTCCTGAGCAAATTGCTACAATAATGCTTTGAAGAAAAAATTACATCCCTTGCACGTTTGTATTGTAAACACCAATTTAATGTTCAAAATGAGAGATGTTCCTTAATTACCGCAATGCGCTACTTCACTTATAGACTAGGAGTTTTCTCTGTGTAATAATTTAAAAGTTAAAGAATATTGTAAAAAATATAGAGAATAATTATTAAGTTGTCTAAGTTTTCAGTTCTAACTGTGATGAAGATTATGGTTAAAATTTTTAATTGTTTCACAATAGTGAAGAGTTTACGTTTGATAATAGAGTATGTTCTTAAAATGGAATGTGGATTTATTTTTACTGAATATTGTTTTAAAACATTGATTAGTAATTCCTTTTTACACTTTATTTTATAGGTGTGGGCTGAATATCGAACTGTTGGAGCAAACCGTTGGAATTCATCCCACTGTAGCCGAGGAAGTTGTAAAGTTGAATATTAGCAAGAGGTCTGGAGAAGATCCCACAGTTACAGGCTGTTGAGGTTAAATCCTCCACCCCTATTCCTGTCAGTAATAATGCTTTCTAGAAAAAATTGGTACAATTTGGGAAGATGCAGTGACTAATACTAGTTTTTATGTCTTAACAAGTTATCTAACACTTCGTTAAAAGGGTTAACGCAAGTTAATATCATGACAGTTATTCATCTCATTATTGTCTCACTTCTGCGTGAACCTTTAGAAGGTAATGGATTAACATACAGACATTTTTATTGAATATGATTTTGTTAATATAATTTGACGTATTTCAAAAAATAATATATTTTACCTGTCACAGTCAATGGCCAATGTAAGAAACGTTTTGGAAGAAAGCAACCAAAATGATATTATCACTAACTAAACTGCTACTACTGACAGGCCCAAAGGCTGGGGTGGAGACAGTATAGAAAATGAAAGAGTTACTGTAAGCAGACAGTATGATGAAGGCTTGTTTTCAAACCCAATTCTTGGGAAAAACATTTCTGATGTTACTGGCTGCATGAAAATAGAAATACAATTTTTTTGTGTATATAATGTAGAGTTTTGTAAAAAATATATGATTATTTAAAATGGTGAAACTGGTGTTAAAGTTTTCTTCCCATAACTCGTGAAAACAACTCAAAACAGTCTAGAGAAACGTGGCTTCCATTAACAGTCTTTTGTAGCATTCATCCTGTGTCATTACCTTAACTTGTTGTTGTACTTACAAACTCAGTTCCAAATAAATGGTAAATATCTTTATATTTACACCTCAGTTGCTATAGAATTAATCCTGTCTGGATTCTTCATTTTTACTACTTAAACTTCATGAACAGACACTAGAAACAGAGTTTGTCTGATTTATTAATTAATTTTGTCAGTAAAAGCATCATCAGATACAGGTTGTTAGTAAATGACGTAGTTGTGAAACATATGATTCTGTAATTATGGAGTTTCACCAAGTACCAATGGGTTCGAGTATCAATTATTATAATTTCCTTCCTTACATTAATACTTTTCTTGTGTTACTTAATAAATCGAAACAAATTGGTAGATGTAAGAAAATTTTATTCGGTGCATTTTTATCAACACATGATGCTTTCTGTTGTTGAGTGTCAATAGCTGTTTCGATAACATATATAATTCAGTAGTAGTTCAGTTTAAAACGTTTTGTTTTTTTGCATTATATATACATTACATATGAGTGTATCAGAGATTGATTTATCAGAGGAGCTGTATTTATTTTTTTATCCATTAGTCACTTTTCCTACATCCTCCTTATTAATTTTAACTTATTTTTCATCACTTGGTATTCCGCGTGAAGATCACAAGCTAGTTTTCACTCATCTGACACTTTATACTGGTCTACTTTAGACATTGTTAGCAATAGGTCAGCTAGAAGCTGGTCAACCCAAGCTGTTGAAGAGTGGCTACATGTTTCACAAAGTGTGATTAGCAGGATGTGGACACGTTTTTCAGATCACCAACAAAGCTGACCTACGATATGCATAAATAACCGCTTTGAACATATGGGCTTTATGAAAATGAGGAAGAAGTTAAATATAGGATTAATAAGGTTGGCTTTTATGTCCTAAAACTTATGCATTTTAACTCAGTCACAAAACAGGTCATCTTCAATGATGCCAAGAACGTGGACAAATGTTTTTCCCCAGATGAGTCACTCTTGATACCGTAGCTAAATATGAGACATACATGCAACTGGAGTGTGTCTATGACCAAATCAAACTACAGTATCATAGAGGAAAAAAATTTACATGATGGCTTTTACATAATACAACCCAACACTGTGAGTGTCATACAGCTTAATGATGTAATCGTACTGCTATAGTGTTATCATTGTGTATTTGGTCAGAATTTTTTCTCCTGGATGAAATGCACAACACAACTTCATCACATGATTGGTCACTTGACACTGATTTTACATAAAAACTAAGGGGTGTCCTTTACATGATTTAATAATAATAGGTTTCTCTTGTCAAAGATAGAATATTGAAAACTCCATAATAATTTTAAGCAGTGTAATTACTTCTATTCGGTTTTAAAAGGACACCATAGAAATTAGTGTCATTAAATACATATACACAAAGGTAATTTTAATATATAGTTAAGTGCGTTTAAAAGTGATGATACTTTATTATAGGATTGCAAGCTTATATATATATATATTGTCAAGTTTTATAAAAATCACAAGTCGGGTGGATCCCAAAATATCAAACTGATATAACTTCCTGTTTTAGAGAAATAATAGGTTAATATAACTTCCGATTCTAAATATTTGTATACACATGATTTAATAATATATAACACAGCTAATTAACGATTTATGTGAATGCTGTAAGACCTAAAGATGTAGTCTCACAACCATTAGTGTTGTCATTTACAAGAGCAGATGGTCGGGCCTATTTTTCTACTGGATGACCATGTGGACCTCTATGTGCTAAACTGTTTAGAAACTTCCTGAAAGGTTCACGAGCTTTAAACATGGTTGGAATGAAACTTAGCATGTCAATTTATTTACAAGTTGTGTTGATGAACTGGAGATAGTTCTGATTGAGGATTGGGCCACGATACCTCAGTAGGTCATTGATTCATTCATTTTAATACTTGCCTCGTTGATGTACGAGTTACATTAGTGTTCCAGTTGATCAAACACTTTATTAAGAAGCATTTTCTGATAAATTATTGAAGAGTAAATCTCCAATAAAACAGGACTTCTATTTCAACAATACATATGTATATATCGTATCACTTGAGTGGTTGCCCGACATTCATTTTGTATAAACATTAACGTTGTTTAGTTGTCAGAGTTCTTTCACTGCCAGTTACTGCAATAACAGTTTTTGTTGTAAGGGTCAAACTGAAAAGTGTACTTGTAGAATTCTGTACGAAGCTACTCAAGGGCTATCTGCAGTAGCCGTCTCTAATTTTGAAGTGATAAACTATAGGAAAGGCAGCTAGTCAACATCACCCACCAACAACTCTTGGACTACTATTTTACCAATGAATATTTGGACTGATTGTCACGTTATAATGTCCCCATAGCTGAAAGGGCGAGCATGTTCAGTAATGGGATTCGAACTTGAAGGTTGCAAGTCAATGCCCTAACCCCAGACCAGATTCTTGAAAGAAAAGTAGGCTTACAAGCTACACTGATTTCTTATCAAACCACTTTTTCATTGCATGTTTCAGTTTAGTTTTTATTTATAAAAAATACAATAAAAGTCTTAACACCATCAGTTTACACTATACGTAGGTGTGCGTCATGAAGGCCTGGAAGTATCACTTTTTAATTTAAAAAAACTACATCAATAAATAGGATTACTGTATAATCTAAATATGTTTCAATTACGTAAAACTAATTTAGTATAAATGTTAAAAAACAATTTAATTCAGTGGGAAGAATTGAGTGCGAGAAGGGAAAACATTATAAAGCTTATTATTCTGAAATCGCTAGCATCCCAACCAATCTGTAGAAGCAATAAGTGGGAACTGTCTCTCCACCATCATTTTATTATCGTTGAATTGCCAGTAAAGATTATTCTTGAAAAAGTACGTTAGGCCTAGAAAGAAAAAAAGATGAGTAGTTAGTACATTAAAGGTTTCTGTAAATGATAACGCCTACATAGCTAAATCATTGAAACATGAAAAATGACAAAACCTTTATCCGAAATAACCAACCCAACAATTATCTGAAATAAAGTTTTCCCCCACATACATGTTGTAAAAAGTTTCGGTGGATAAAATTTTTAAGCAAACACCACTTCAACCTACCTATGAGAGAGCAGGGGGTGTAGAGTCGAACAACCGCTCCAATATTCTAAAAAATCCAAGATTTTTTTTTTTTATAAACACTTTTACGTAGAACAAACTGTCCACATTTTAACGGTTTTTGTAAAAAGACGCGCCCACCCTTCTATAGCGCTGTGTACAGAATATTCCTTTTTAGTCTCCAAGCGAGATTCCAAAGAAGAGAAGTGTAGGAATATTAAACATGAGTGACTTTAATTACATATTAACCATAAAAAGTTTACTAGCTTCGCGAATGTTTTACGCTCTACATACAACGCTGGCATAAAAACGGTTACTTCAAATTGAAGTTTGGCCATCATATTTCCAATGTGGCCCAGATTAGTTTTGGTAATAATCGAAAATCATTTTGTGCAATAATATTTTATTCTAAGAGGAATGTGATAAGTCTCAGGCTATCTTCGCCACATTTGTTAGGCCTATAAAGTTTAAATTTATTTCACAAGGATAAAAAATTCTAACATTCAGGTCCCCACATATGGTTCTATCAATTTGTTTGTGCTATGCACAAAGCTACACAATGGACTATCTGTTCTGTGACGACCACAGGTATCGAAACCCGATTTTTAGAATTAAAAGTCCACAGACCTGTCTTTGAGTCACCGGGGTGGGGTTTCTATCAAACGAGAACAAAAACAATGAAGTAAACTACTATTTAAAAACATTTAGGGTATAAACATCTAATTCAAGTCTCAGCCAATTCTTCTACATAGAACTTAATATTATATTTCATCAATTTCTTTCAATCTACATATTTCTCTGGTACCCATCCATTTTAATTAAATGAAAACACCAAAATTAACAGTATTCCTAATATGGGAATTCAAAAAAGAACTAACTTTTCCACGTAAATACAGCGTCTATATTTGTGGGAACCCCTTTCCATCGTTGGATCGATTGGGGATAGCCTTCATCCATTCTCTCCACCTTACTGTCATAGCACCAGTAGCGA